ATAGCTGACTAATATTGCTAGCTCTGATGACCCACTGGTGGGGGGAGACAGTGTGCAGCGGCCCCCTTTTCTCTCTACCCCATGTGCTGATCAGAGGGGAACCCTTATACAAAGCACTCTGCTAAAATGTAGCCACCTCTGTCTGGTGAGTTTAGAGAAAGCAACTAATGGCTGCTGTGATTCATGTCCTCTTGTTCTCCAGCCGTTGTTAATAATTCACTGATCAATGCCAAAAAATGCCTCTGTTGCTTCCTTTAACATTTTGATGCACGTCCAAATAACATCATTGCTTCCTTCTTCAAATCCGCTATGGTGATTTTCAATCTGTGCGCTGGAAAAGCCTGAGGTTCCCGGCAGGCTCATGAGGACTTCTGCAATGAGAAGCTTGGTAATGAAGTAAGAAGCTCTGAAAGCCGGATGGCCTCCTTCCACCAATCAGCCCTTGCCATGTATCGCTACAGGGGGATGTGAGGTGGGCTTGGGGCTCCCTATGGAGCTCATGGAGGACAACAGCCCTACAGTTTGCCCTGGAATCCTCAGACCCATGCAGATGGGATAAGGAGAACATTTCCTGAAGGCTGAATGTTGGACAAACACTAACATAAACAACAGGAACTCGCTTTGGAGACTGCCTGCATCCTATACTTGTTGCTGTTGCACGTAGTTAGGGTCCTCCTTAGGCTAATTTTTAAGAAAGATTTTCCTTTTCTGCAGATCTCCCAACTGAGCTTACCCCCGGCTTCCCTAGAATGCACTTCACTCACCTCTGGTACTGACTGCCCACCGGCAGGAGATGTGAAGAATGCTGTCCGTTTTTGGAAGCAGATGCAACAACACATAAAATACTTCTGTTCTGTTATCCCTGTCCCTTGCCCAGGGCTTTTTTTGTAGAAAAAGTCCAGCAGGAACTCATTAGCATAATAGGCCACACACAGCAGCAGAAACTCATTAGCATATTAGGCCACACCCCTGATTGCACCACTCATTAGCATATTAGGCCACATTCCCATGTTACCAGAAGTGTGGTCATCCAGTCACACCCACCTTTTGCTTCTTATTCTGTTTACCTTGTTTGTTGTCAAAAACCAGGGCTTTTTTTGTTGCAGGAACTCCTTTGCATGTTAGGCCACACACCCCTAATGTAGCCAATTCTAATGAGTTTCTACTGCTGGGTGTGGCCTGTTATGCTAATGAGTTCCTGCTGGGTGTGGCCAACTTGGAAGCCAGCCGGAACTCCGTTCCTGTGCGTTCCTGCCCAAAAATAGTCCTGCCCTTGCCGTATCGGGGACAGTGTGTCTGAAGATCCAAGTTAGTATCTTTTACGTGATCTATCCACCTGATCATGGCTTTTTTTCTGGGGAAACACGCTGGAATGGAGTTCCGGAACCTCTTTGACAAAATTCTTTTTAAAAAGTGTTAAAGTTCATGAGTTCTCAGTATACAGATTGAAAACTTCATTTCCCTCTTGAGAGTTTCGGCACATCTTTTTCAAAAAAAAAAAAAAAGCCCTGCACCTGATCCACTTTTATTCTGCTGTTCCCTTAGGGGTTCCAAGCAGCATACAGAGTTCTCCTTTCTCATGAGATCCTCCTAGCAAGGCTGGGCACCAGAGAGATAATGAGTGGCCCAAGATCACCAGTGAGCTCTGTGGCGAAGTGGAGATTTGAATATGGCTCTTCCAGATCCTAGTTAGACTCTCTAGCCACATGGGGGGGATGTAGATGAGACACAGGAGTAGAAGTGCAGCTTACTGAAGGCAGGCACAAATATATATATATAAAAACGAAAGCAACTGAAGCAAAGTGATGTATAGAACAGGCATAGCCTCAGCCAGAAAAACCACTGAACAGATGAACAAAGTCACAGTTCTTTAAAGATGTTCTTCAGGGAGCACTTTCTATGTATTGTTTTCACTGTGCTCTGGTACTCATGATTATATTTTCTGGTTGCCTAGTCAAGATCATTTAACACTGATGAGTTTCCCTTAATAGCATTTACTGATTTGTCATATCATTATAGCTGAAAGTTGTCCTTTTATCACCTTTTAATGTATACTTCTGGGTGAAATGAAATACCAAATGAATACAGACGCAAGTTTATTTGCCCAGAATTAATGAACACAAATGACAAGGGATGGATTTCAAGGGTATGGTCTTACATAAGGAAGCCCAGTACAAATCTGATTTGTGAGTCTCACATTATTCTATTTAAACGAAGGTTATTCTGTTAAAATACAGGCCATCAAGACTGTGAGTGTGTAGGACAAGCCTGATGTGCAACACCCCCCCCTCCATGGGATGCGGATAACATAACAGGCCAATTACGCAGTCTCAGCCAAAGCCGCCTTACAGGGCTGCTGTGAGGGTAAAATGGAGGACAGGAGAACAATGTAAGCTGCTTTGGGCTCCCAGGGGAGAAGAATTTGGAGTACAAGTGAAGTAAATAAATATAGAAAACGTAGCTCTAGTGCTGTGCTACTCTACGTCGTTCAGACATATAAGGTAACAAAAAAGTTAGTTGTTAAAAGAGCTGGTGGGCTTGAGGGAGCAACCAAACAAGGATAGGAAAGAGCAGTCCAAAGGAGGGCAAGGGAGCAGAGCTGTTAGCCACAAGTGGTGGGGCAATAAATGCCAGAAAGGGCAGGGGACTGACTGTAAGAAAAGCTGCCTGACCCACACAATGTTCCTGTAAAGATCTCCCTCCCCTTCCCTCCCCAGAAAGTGGTGCTGCTTGGAAAAATCTGACCCATTTTCTCTTTTCTACAGCCCATGTCCAGTGTTCCCTCTAAGCTGAGTTAGTGTGAGCTAGCTCACAGTTTTTTAGCCTCCGGCTCACACATTTTTGTCTTAGCTCAGGAAGGATGGCTCCAGAGCAAACTAATTTATGCAGCAGCCAAATCGCTCACTCACAACTTTAATGCCAAGAGCTCACAAAGTAGAATTTTGGCTCACAAGACTCCACAGCTCAGAGGGAGCATTTTGCCCATGTCATTGCTGCGTGGGGTAGGGGCTTATGAAGGCATGGATACTCCCGGCTTCTCCTTTTGACAACTGAAAAGGCCATGCTGGGGATGACAGGACCACGTGGAGAAAAAACAAAAACAAAAAAAACCCCACCCTGTAGAACGGAAGTTGAGGTGAGGAATAGAATTGGATGAGACTGAGAAGAACAGCTGGAAGGATCCAAGCAGAGTATTTTAACTTCTTCAGGAACAAAAGTATATTAGTGAGACTGGTAAAGCTTTTCTCTCTGGTTAGTCAGTCTTTGCAGCAGAAAGAAAGAGAGAAAGAAGGGGGAGACGTCAAAGAAATAATAAAAACGAGATGAAAGAAATGAATTCACCATCTCCTCTCTCTGGACCTGGTGTAGCAATAACCGTGTGGCCAGTTCACACGTGAGAGGATAACACTGCATTTTCATTAGAAATTAAATAAATCATCTTAAGTCAGGACTTGAAAGAAACAAAGAAACACCGAAACGCATGTTTGGGAGGAATGCCATCTAGCCGCCGAGGGACCAATGAACCAAGAAACAGCAAATAGTGTCAATAACTGAGGGAAAAGGTCGGTGTAAGAATGGCCCTCAGGCCACATGGATACGATCCAACTGCATTGTTTGTGCACAGGAACGGCTCGGCTGCAGAGAAATGCAAGATCACAGAAAAAGAACCACCGCATAAACATAACACCCAGGTTTTGTTTAATGACCTATCACTTTGAACACAATAGCTGGGTTAAATTGCAATGTGTTTGCAATAGCCAGGGGATCCTCAAACAGGATTAAATCACCACAAGAGCTGTCAGGATGAAATAACTTGACGCACAATGAGCATGAGTAATAAAAGGGTGGTGTTGAATATGAAGCCAATAAATAAGCAGTTTCTCTTGTTAACTGACATTTAATAGATGCTCTTTCCTTTTAGTTTTGAGTCTTTACAGACTCACCTTCATTAAGCAAAGAGCCATAGGATAAGCTGGTTGACTCTGGCTGGATTTTCCCTCTCCTCGTCGTCAGTCCTGTGGGATTAAAATAATAATAAAAAACATAGTTGGAGCAACTATGATAAATCCAACCTAACAAGTTTAATTATTTCCCCCTTAGAAGGTTTCTCACCACAGGCTTCAGTTTGCTTTGCTGTGCTAGTCTGTGGCAATGGGCTGGAAATAATTCAAGATTTTTTTTAAAAAAAAAACCCAACTGGAAATAGGGGGGGAAAATTAAGTGAAGAGCAATTTTTATTAAAACCGATTGGAGGATCTATTTGATGTGGTTTTTCTTTTCAGCCTTTCCGTTAGTGGATGTTTTTCAGATGCGTGAATGGGGATGACAGCCTGAATATCTGACAGAACATTTCCAGAAATAAACTTACCAGAAATGTGTCCAGAGTCTATATAAAAACTTGTCAAATGTTCCTTGCCTCTATTTTGGGTGATTAAAAATACTCCAACGAATGACAGAAGACACCTGCAGAAATATTGTCAAAAATCATGATGTCATTTAGTTAGTTAGTTTCTTGATTTATACCCTGTTTCTCTCTCCCTCCAGTGAGGACCCAAAGAGGCCTACCTCATTCTCGTCTCTTCCATTTCATCCTAACAACTGTGTGTGTAAGAGACCCAACGTCACCTAGCAAGTTTCCATGGCAGAAACAGAAGGCTGTTTCTGACCTTTCCTCAGTGGTGATGGGAGCCATAGCCCTGACCTTGACAGTCCAGGTTAGCCTGATCTTGGAAGCTCAGTCAACATTTGGATGGGAGACCACCAAGGAATACCAGGGTTGCTATGCAGAGGCAGGCAAACCACCTCTGAATGACTCTTGCCTTGAAAACCCTACGGAGTTGCTGTAAGTTGGCAGCAACTTGATAGGGAAAAAAGCAGCCATTGCTCTGAACTGGATGGCCCAGGCTAACCTGCTCTCACCAGATCTCAGAAGCTAAGCAGGGTCAACTCTGGTTAGTGCTTGGATGGGAGACCACCAAGGAAGCCCAGGCTTGCAACACAGAGGCAGGCAATGGCAAACCTCCTCTGTTCATTTCTTGCCTTGAAAACTCCTTGAGAGATCACCATAAATTGGTTACAACCATAAATTGGTTGCGACTTGACAGCATTTTCCACTGTAAAGACTCAAAACTAAAAGATGTAGAAAAGGGACAGGGCATTTTTTCCAGGTCAGTTGGAGACTCGCTGGCCCATTAGACTCTGAAGAGTATAGTCCAAATACTGTTTGCTCTCTGTCTCTGTTTTCTGGCATTACCAGAGCAACTATCAAGCTAATAAGGCAGCATTTGAATGAGCCCTTAGCCATTTTATTGTAGGTGGCAAGCACAGATTAAAAGTGGCCCTAAGAGACTCATAGTCATCTGTATGTGCTCACGGTGGGCTGCCTTACTCAGAATGTTTGGAGAAAGTGTTCTGAATTAAAGCAGTTCACCCTCAGCACATACAGAAGACCACAGAGTCTCTCAGGGCCAGTTTTAAGCTGCTAGGGATACATTTACATGGAGAAAGCATCAGCATGAATTGGGTGGTACACTGACACAGCCAGCACCAGTCAGCAATTTATCATCATCATCATCATCATCATCATCATCATCATCATCATCATCATCAATAATTATAATTATAATTATTATAATTACTATTATTATTATTTATATGTCATATTTCTATTTCAAAAATGCCACTCTGAGCCTGAGGAGACAGAGCAGAATAGAACAGTTTTAAATAGATAGATTTGAATAAAAATAGTCAAGGCGGGCATATAACTACAAAAAGAAAGTTCATTAAAATACTTAAAGAACATCAATTACATCAAAGATTTAAAAACACATAATGAATAAAACCAATAAAGTCTGCAGTGTGAAAATATCAAACACCAAAGGAGATGGTCCTAAATTGAAAATGGCAGTGGAGGAGGAGTCAAGCAAAAATGAAAAGTAGTTACAATAACAGACGTTACTAGCCTGACAGGTAAAAAGCAAGTTCTCTAGAATTAGTAGGTCTTTCTGTTCTGCTGAAAGAGTACCATGACAATTTGGATGAACTTGGATAACTTGAGTGAGGTGCAGAACATTGAAGGGTGTGGCTTTGTGAAGATTTATATGTGTGCCCCAGAAATACCAGCCTCTATGAGAGCCACCTTGGTACAGTGGTTAAGTGTGTGGATGCTAATCTGGGAGAACCGGGTTTGATTCCCCACTCCTCCACTTGTAGCTGCTGGACGATCTTGGGCAAGCCATAGTTCTGTCAGAGCTGTCCTTGAAAAAGAGCAGTTTCTGTCAAGAGCTCTCTCAGCCCCACGTACCTCACAGGGTGTCTGTTGTGGGGAGGGGAAGGGAAAGGAGTTTGTAAGCTGCTTTGTGACTCTGAGTGAAGGGGGGGGTATAAATCCAGTCTCTTCTTCTATTTGGCCTCAAGGAGAGAGGAGATGTGTCCAATCTAGGGTTGCCAATTGGCCTGGGTAAAAAATTCCTGTCCCTTTAAGAGAGGCTTAATAAAATGTCACATACCAGGGGATGGTATTACCTCTGTGCCATTAAAAAAAGAGCCAGTGGGGTGCAGTGGTCTCAGTGTCAGACTAGGTGTCAGACTAAGTGTCAGACTAGGATCAGGGACAGCCAGGTTTGAATCCCCACTCAGCCAGGGAAGTTTGCTGGGTGACCTTGGGCCAGTCACATACTCTCAGCCTAACTTACCTCACAGGGTGGTTGTTGTGAGGATAAAATGGGAGGAAAGGAGAATGACATAAACAGCTTTGAGTCCCCACTGGGGAGAAAGGTGAAGAATAAACAGAGGTCATTTCGGGGGGATCGCGGGGGATCGCAGTTCCCCCTGGTGAGGTATGGGGGGCGGGGCACATGACGAAGCCCCGCCCCCTGCTTCCGGCCGCCCCGCTTCCAGCCCTCATTCAGCCAGGAGGAGGCAGGAGAAGAGGGATGGTAAGTTGCTTCCTCCCTGCCTCTCCCCACCCCTGCCTGCCTGCCTGGGGCCAGGGAGGGCCTTTGCGGGGCTTCCTTGCACTCCCGCCAGCCTTGCAGGTCCACAGCCGGGCCACTCATGGGGCCCGGCAGTGGAGCTGCAAGGCCGGCGGCGGCAGCCAGTACCGTTGGGGGCAGGGTGTGTGGCCTTATGACACACTTCTGGTGATGTCAGGGGGTGTGGCATATGCTAATGAGTTATGCTAATGAGTTCCCCTAGCTCTTTTTCTACAAAACGACCCCGGAGAATAAAGTGTAATTTTTTTTAAAAAAGCTTTAACAGTCCACCACTAAGATGTAGGAAAGGGACAGGACATTTTTTCCAGGCCAGTTGGCAATCCTAGTACAAACTGTTAACTGCCCTTCCAGATTCAAGAGGGTTCTCATTTGCTAACATTATGAGAAAATGTGATGAATCCAGAAACCACAGCCTTACATTTCAGATTTTTATTTATTTTAGTACAAAGTCATCCAGCCATTTCTCCAAGGAGTTCAAAGCAGTGTACATCAGTCTCCCCTCCTTCATCTTCACAACAACCTTGTGAGGTAGGTTAGGCTGACAGACCTGGCCCAAGGTCACCAAGCAAGCTTAATGGCAGAGTGAGGGTGTGAAGCTGATCTTGACATTCTACCCACCGGCCTTTTTTAATCAAAATGGTCTGCATCCCATATTCTCCAAAACCCACTTGAGATTTATATTATTGGGGGGTGGAGAGATATTGTATACCATAAATGTAGTTATATATATTTATAGTGTGGTATCTCACAAACACACAAAGCTTTTGCATTTTTGTAGGGCTGCCAACCTCTAGGTGGGACTTGGAGTTCTCCCAGAATTACAACTGGTCTCCAAAGCACAGAGATCAGTTCCCCTGGAGAAAAATAGATGCTTTGGATGGCGGACTCTACAGCATTATATCCTGCTGCTGAAGTCCCTTCTCCTCTGCAAACCTCACCCCCCTCAGGCTCCACCCCAAAATCTCCAGGAATTTCTTGCCCTGGAGTTGCCTCCCCCCTCCCCGCAGCTGCTGGTATCCATATTGGGTTGGATCCAGATTATGTTTTCCATCAGCAGGATGAAACTTTCCTGCCTCCCCCCCCCACACACTGCAGACCACTGATCTCTACAAAATGCTGTTTTTCCTCAGGGATAGGAGACCACAAGGAACGACATCCGTGAGGCCTGCAGCAGGAAGGAAGGATAAGTGGAAATTGCCAGTTGAGATCTCTTCTGCATTCTCATTTTTCTCACTCATTTGTCCCTATTGCTTTGGGTCCCCCTCCCTTTCCCACATGTGTTTTGCTCCCTCTGTTACTACTAGAGAAAGCAAAACTCATTGAGGGGGGGGGAAGGAACCCTGAAGCAATAGGGACACAAAAGTGATGAGCATCAGAGTGAGGAATAGCCTTTAGTCTGGATCCAGCCCATTGCCTCAGAACATGTGTGTGCAAATTTGCCCTCACAGCCAATAGCCCATCTGCGCTTCCTCTGTGTTCATGTTAGAGGAATCCAGGAAGCCACTGATGGAGCTGTTCATGCTCTAAAGTTCCTGAGCCCCTCCTTTTCCCACAGGCCTTGGTGTAGGATGCCACTCCAGAAAGGTAAGCAACCCTCTGGCATGCCTTCCTGATTCATCCTAAGACCCTATAGTCAGAAACGCACATCCAGAAATTCCCAGGGTGGCCTTGCATTGACTTGGCCGCATGGATCTTTGGATTCTTGCTGTAGGTCTGATATGTTCTTAACCTGGTTTCATGCATCAGCCCTAACTTGGCTATAGACTTCCACAAAAACTACTTACCCACACGGAAACATGAAACCACTCAACAAACTCACACCTTGGAGTTCCTGATAAAATATGGCTCCTGCATTGAGACAAAAACAAGAAGTCCAGCTCTTAAACTGGAACTACAGCAGATAAACCTTGACAGGAATTAAAGGGCCTCTCTTCTCTCCTAATTAGCTCTTAATTGCATATAAATAGGACAGGATCCAAAGTACCCATCCAAACCACTTACAAACAGGGAGGGAATATACCTAACTCTTACCATCTTTAGTTTAGAGCAAATCATTATTGCAAATGCATGTTACGTTATAAGGCCTTGATTGAATAATTGTTATTGAGCATCACAAGAATAATTCTGGGTAAGGCATACTCTTAAGGATAAGGAAACTGACAGCACAGCTCTAATTTGTGCTGACTCAGGTGAGAAGTTCTATATGTGTCAGGAGTTACTGAGATAATTAAAACTCTGCTATATGAATATTTGCTTTCATGCAAACCCAACAGGTGCTAGAGAATTCAAAGTCCCCAAAGTAGTGTTACTCATTATTGCTACTGACTAACTAAAGACTTTCAAGCTGATGAACTGTCAGAATTTTAATCAAGTTACTGATTGTATTTACATAAATCTGCATATTCCATACTGGTGTCCTTTGTATGATACGAAAGGAAGGGCATGAATTGCAAGGCAAAATACATTTTAAATTCAAAAAACTACACCTGATTGTCAAAAGGAAAGCTTATTATCCATATTCACAGAAAGGAAAATATTAAACAAAAAGCATTTGTATTCCAGTAACATATCTGAAGCAAAGATTTCGACAATAGACAAGTTCAAACCCCATCGGCATTGTATCTATGGATAATGATTTCAGCTGAGCCACTATCCATTTCAGTTACCTGGTTTTTATTTGCCAGAAGAAAATCTAAAGCTCTTTCCAGTGCGTAGTTGCCTCACATTGAGCCTGACCATTAGCTCATCTACTCCAGTACTGTCTGTGCTGATTGGTAGAAGCTCTTCAGGTTCACACAGACAGGCCTAGTTCTCAGATCTTTTCAGTGGAGATGCTGGGGATCAAAAGTGGGACCTCCTTCTGCATAAAAAGGAGAATGGATGCTACCAGCTGCCCATCAATCATGGAATAAAGAAGAAGGAGCCTATATGACTGGTGCAGGCAGTATGCTCTTCGCCTCAGCCCCACTGATTGACATGGAAAGGGGAGGCAATTTTGATCTCTGGTATATTCTTGATTAACCCATCTTGCCAGCCTCAAATATTTCAACCATGTCTCAGGGTCAGGTCACACGGACATTTAGTGCGGGCTTCGCTGCTGATCCCTCGTGCATTAAAGTTTCCTGTTCATATTGGCAAACCCGCCTCCCGCACCGAAGCGGGCTGAGTCCCGCGGTTTCCGCTCTTTTTATCTGCGTTTTCTGACACCCGTTGGAACAGGTGTTTTCCGATATCTCGTGCTTTGTATCCGCGGTTTTGGTATCTGGACAGCAATCCGCCGTGACCGCGCTACCCCCCCTTTTGTGTTTCCGGTTTAAGTTATGCGCATGTGCAAACAGGCGCTAGCTTTTATTTTGGTCTTTTTAGTTTGTATGGACGCCAAAGCGCATGCGCAGGTTTGTTGTTGTTGTTCTTTTTTAAAAAACAAACCCCGCGCCGCCGCAGGGACGGCGCGCTGTGTGATCAGTACTTCACGTGAGTGAAGCAGAAGACAGAGGAACCGTCTGACCACCTCCAAGCGATATAAAATGTCGCGGATAGAAGAACTGCGGGAAAACTAGCGCGGTAAGAGGTCCGTGTGACCGCGGCCTCAGTCTCATTCCTGCCTGCCGGCATATAATGGCTGGGTATGGCCAAAGGCACGAGCCCTCGGTTACGAACCAAAGGGCAAGCGCCAAAGTGTTCTTGGTCCCATAGCCTGGGGGCCTGCCAGTCTAATGAAGGAGGACCCGCCCAGGCCTGGTGCTCATTGGCTTTCATTATTTCAATTGTTCAGTTTCATCTGGAAATTTCTGTAAGCCACTTCGGATCCCTTGGGAGAAAAGCAGCACAGAAATCCCTAAATATAAATAAATCCTATTAAAGCTTCCTTGTTTAACTCAAACATGGTCGGTCCTGTTGTCTTACAGAAACTAAATACTAGACTTCAGATTACCTGTTCAACATGACTTTAGCAGCAGAGTCCTCCCCAGTCCCAAATAATGACTGTATGCATCCTATGAGCTTATGGCTATTTCCCCCTGCAGGCTGTGGAAGGTCAGTAGTTCAGCAGTTCAAGACCCGGGGGCCGCAAGACAGGTACCTGTTCAACATGACTTTAGCAGCAGAGTCCTCCCCAGTCCCAAATAATGACTGTATGCATCCTATGAGTTTATGGCTATTTCCCCCACCTATGGCTTTGTTAACCCATGCTACTAAAAGTCCAAGCCACGTGTAGCTGGGCAAGCCCATATCAAGATTAATGGATTTTCACAGGAGCACTTTTATTGCATTGCCAATAATTAATAGCTGTGTTAATTGTTTCATATAAACAAATCTGGGCACATGTGATCTAATCTCAAGCTCCTTCATTGAAGTTTTTAATAGGGCCTTATTCAGATCAAATCCGGAATGAGTAAGGATATTTAGGAGTTGGCCCAGAAGCACCCAGAGAATCAAATTCTCCATTTGGTTACATCATTACAGCTGTTCTGGGTCAATCTTTCCTCGGTATCATACGGCACAGGCCTATTTTAAACCCAGCTGCTGAACAAATTCATATTTTTAAGCTTTGGTGAGCTCTGAATAAGTAATGGACATAAACTAATGGAATTCCTGTATGCAGATCTCCTAAAAAAACACCAACAACAGAGCAGGCCCCGGTGTGTGTTAAAGGGGTCATAAAAGTTATAGTAACAATAACTTTTTGGCGGACTGTGAATGCAGCATATTGGTCCCTCTCTGCTCGCTTGTTCTTACCACGGCATACAGTTCTAGGGAATTGGAGTCTCTTTTCAATCATATCCAGTTCAAAAGTTCTCACCCAGGATAAAATGTTAATAGCTTAAAAATGGCTTTGGATCCATTCTAATTCCTTTGCTTGAGCTGAGCGCATCCAGCCTGCTGAAAGAGAATATATACACACGCCGACGGCTGCAAAGCACAGCTGGTTGTTATCTTAGGGGCTTGCTTCCTTGCCGAAATTGCTTTAGCAGGTAAGAGACCGAGGAGCCAAGATACACATGGGGAAAGCATTCATTGTAAGTCACTGCAGGTACCTCTAATAAAGTATTAAAACAGGATAGATGGGGAATATCAACCCCAAGAAAGTGAGATTTCAATGGTGTTGGGGTTTTGTCCCCGTTGGAATCTATGATCATTCAGAAGAGGTCTCTGGACACTGAACATTGTCCAGCCAGAGTTAAACGCTTTTTAAGTCCCGTTGATTTCAACAGGAACGTTAAGCACACTCTCTCCCACTGCAATCAATGGGACTTAAAAAGTGATCAAGTTTGGCTGCATCATGCCCATTGCATGATGCTAGAAAAATGCTCATTGTTGTGACAGGCTGGGGTTTCCTAGGGGGATGAAGGGCAATGCATACCTGCACACAAGGGAGTACTGGAGTTCCCCTTTGGGGACTAGGCACCCTTACATCAGGAGCAAGGGAGGCTTTGCTCCTGTTGCAACCGTGTCCCTCAGTGCAGCCATTTGTATCACAAGAGTAGCCAACAGCCATTCATATGCATGGAGAAAACTAAAAGGGTGTACACACAGACACTGGTTAGGTGATATGTAAGCCTGCCCCTCACCCGTATGGTCCCCAGTTTCTGGTGAAGCCACAGACTTGTCCCACTTCCCTGTTATCAATTTCTGCCCATTTACTTTATCCCATCCAAGTTAATGGTAACCGAACTGGCTCCTGTCTTCAAAGCTCCACCAAGATTCCATTTACTGAACACACTCATGTGTGACAGAACCGAGAGAACTCAGAAGCTGTTTTTAAGGAGGGACAAATGAACACATAAAAGTTCCAAAGAAGAAAAAGGACCCTGATTCAATACACAAGCAAATTGCTCAGTTCTGATGCTTATATTGTGGTTGAGAAGTAGACACTAACCTGTCACGATTGCGCTAATGGTGAAGAATACATAGTTTATTGGAACCACTACTGTTGCTCCATAGAGTTTCTCTGCTTGGGTCAAGAACCTATAAGAAGGAAGCGGAACACTTTTATCTTTGCACAGTGAAGAAATCATAATCGTGTATTTATATCCCACCATTCTGCTTTCTCAAAAGCGCCCAAGGCAGTTTACAATTCATAAAACAAACAGATCAAGCCACAGAATGAAACAAATAGCATTAACAACAGCAATCATAACAGCAACAAAAATCAGTGTATAAACAGAACATTTCCCACTTCAAAAGCCTTCTAGGACAGAATGATTTTCATATTTCATAGATCAGGAGAGAGAGGATCAGACAAACCTCAGCTGGTCGGGTATTTGTTGACTGAGGAAGCCTGCTAGCAATGACAGCTCACAGAGCAGGGCACCCCCCCTCCCCCTGAAGTTAAATTCAGGAATTTAGAAAATGACTCTTATTCCCCAAGCTCCCAAGAGCACTGGGCATGGCAAGTGATGACCCTAGCCATTTAGCCACCAGGATGGGAAGCTTGGGTACCCAAAAGAAGACAGCCTACTCAAAGCAGACAACTAACTACAAGGTACGAAATGATACAAACAAATGCTGAATTCAGACATGTGGAGGGAATGGACCACAATTTTTTTTAGAAAATACCAGTCATCAGGCCACTTTCCCACCCAATCTCTCTTGCATTGCCTGGCTGCTAGTAAAGGCTCATTTTATATCCCACCCACCTGCTCTTGGTCAGATGCAATAAATAGGCAGGGGAAGGACAGGCAAGCCCAGGGCAAGCTTAACATCCTCTTCGTTGCTCTTAATAAAGAACTTCCCTGTCCCCATACTTTTTTCCCCTTTCTGAAGCAGAATGAATCTTTTACAGCCTTCATTGTCTCTGCTTTCTTGACCTTTCACCATTTTCCTTAGCTAAGGAAAGGAGCATATAATTAAGGGCAGCTTCCTCACTCACTCACTCACTCACTCACTCACTCTCTTCTGTCTTCATGGGGAAGGAGGCATGGCAGAAGTGGGTTCTGATCTGCTTTCGACTGTAAGGTTTTGCTGGAATGATTTTTATTGTGCATATTGGCAAACCAAATAAAAGCATGTGGTTGAGACCTTTGGTCCTACTGCCTTTTACATTTCCCCTCAGAAGAGGCTAAAACTGCTTGGTGAATCCACAAGCTGGAAGGGGTCATAAAGGGAAGATGGATGTTATGTCCCAAGGATGTCTGATCAGTAATAAAGAGGGGGAGCAGCTAGATGTTTTCTGTTGCTTCGTGTAGCTGCTTCTGTATACAGGAGGCTCAGAGGGGTGGTGCGACTGAACAAACTAGGTTTTCTGGAAGGAGGAGGAGGAGGAGGAGGAGGAGATTGGGTTTATACCCCGCCCTTCACTCAGAGTCTCAGAGCGACTTACAAACTCCTTTCCCTTCCCCTCCCCACAACAGACATCCTGTGAGATAGGTGGGGCTGAGAGAGCTCTGAGAGAACTGCTCTTGAGAGAACAGCTCTGAGAGAACTGTGGCTTGCCCAAGGTCATCCAGCAGGTGCAAGTGGAGGAGTCGGGAATCAAACCTGGTTCTCCCAGATTAGTGTTCGCGCACTTAACCACTACACCAAACTGGCTCTCCACAGTAAACCACAGTTAGTATAAACCACAACAAGCCAGGTGCAAACTATTACTCAGAATCTCAGTTTAGCACCCACCGACAAACCACAGTTGGTTGTATAGTGTCCATTTAAATACCACAATAAATCAAAGATTTATCAAACCATGGTTTAACAGGATGTCTGAATGCAGTCCAAAATTGCCAAGTGTAAACAAGTAATAATATCCATTGATATTTCCAGCAATTAGCTGTCTGCTCAGTAAAACAAGGGAAATCATCCAAATTCTTCAACTTCGCATAAGGATGGAGACCTGGTTTAGTCTAGTGGCTAGGGGGGGAAACCCTGAATCAAATCTTGCCTCTACCACAATCTCATTAAGCAGTTTTCAGTAAACCACTATCTCTTATCCTGAGAGCTCCATCTGCACTATGTCTGTCTACCCTACAGGCTTGTAAGAATTACTGGGGTAAGGTATATCTCTGTGTGCTACCTAAACTCTAAGAGTTGCATCCTAGGGTTTTAACATCTCTTTCCTCAGCAGCTCCCTGTGACCACCAAAAAGCCTATACCAGGGCTTGGGAGTTCTGTGTGGGAAAAAGCCACAGGATATGGATGATGGGGAATGAAACTGCTGTTTGGTCAATGGCACATCTGCTGGTGTTAAGAGGGATGATTTTGTCTGTTTTAACCATCCTCTCTGCAGCTGGCCACTACTCATTTGTTGTTAGGGGTCCCAAATCCCCCCGGGGGGCGGAATTCCCCCCGGTTTCGAGCCCCGATTCCCACTCCCGCAGAAACCCCACCCCCGCACGTGTGTCACCCGGAAGTGACGTCACACGCTGGGGGCGGGGCGACGCCATTTGAGGGGAAAACTCTTTGTTTTCCCCTCAAATGGCGTCGCCCAGCCCCCAGCGTGTGACATCACTTCCGGGTGACGCACGCGGGGCGCGCACACGAAGAGGACGCCGTCCGGGAGCCCCCCGCTCCCGGACGAATTTCATTTGGCAACCCTATTTGTTGTTGTTTTTCATATGACTACTCCAAACCCTGATATCATCTTTTTGATGGTGACAGAGGGCTGCTAGGGGAAGGTGAGAAAGATCCATCCCCACCAGAACCTTTCACCAGCGATGCACAACTGTACATTTTATTATCCACTGAGTCCCTGATAAGACAGTCAGTGTGGCGTAGTGGGTAGAGGGTTGTTCAAGGATCTGGGAGACCCAAGTTCAAACCTGCCATAGAAGCTTCCTGGGGGATCCTCAGCTAGCCATTCTCTCTCTCAGCCTAACCTACCTCACAGGGTTGTTGTGAGTATAAAATGGAGAAGAGAACTGTGTAAGCCACTTTGGATCCCCATTGGGGAGAAAGGCCCATAATGGAGCTAAATAAAATGTTCTACATAAATAAATAGAAGGTGAATGCAATCGTGATTTTCTGCACTTTATTAGACTTTTACCTTTGAGAATCTGCAGCAAAACTTTTCCTGTCATTGAGACTTCTGAGTTTTGCAATTTTACATGTTGATTAAAGAGTAATTTTTAAACAAATAAACTAAAAGGGAACCAGCATTTCCCCAGAGCGTGTTTTATAATTACTTTTTCCTAATAATTAAATCAAAATGTTAAAAGTTTAAATGGAATAAACTTTTTCACCTGCTATCTCAATATTTGTCTGCACAACTGCAAAAGTCCATCTTTGAAAATATTGTGGCTGCAATCCCAAAGGACACTTTCCAGGGAGAAAGCCCCACTGAAAAACATGTGATTTGCTTCTGAGTAGACCTGCTTAGGAATGTTTTCTGTATTACTCAGCCCTTCTATTTTGTCAGTGATATTTGGAGTACAACTGGATTGGGGCCTGACTGAGACTACAGAAAATGGTGTGCATCCTTTCAACAGAGTCATACTGAAAATGGCCTCATTAATGCTCCAACCTCCGATCTGTTTTTGACATTAGGAGTGACTGCATTGTTATTTTAGCAACTGTTGAACAGTCTCCATGGAGCTTTAAAAATAAAATAAAAAAAATCCTGCATATTCATGGAATAGTCAGGATTTTTAAGTCACTGGAAACACCTCATTACTTTTGGTCATTCCTTACAATGATAGTCTGAAGAAATCAAACGCTCCCATGCATGAAGATGCCCTCCCCCCCAAGCTGCCCAAATCAGCCATTAACTAAAACAAGGTTGGAGTTCTGTTTGACGACTGTAACCTGCATTCTTTGAGAGATGGGATAGCCTAGTGGCTGAGAGCGCACACTGCAAAATTCAGCTCCATACTCAGCAGGTATCTTAGGTAAGCCACTGTTCCCTTCAACAACAGCCTCCCCACCTGCAAAATGGGATCTCAGCACTGCAAGGGATGATACTCTGGGACACCTGTGTATGGGTCTTTCTTAAGAGTAAAGAGAAGCCTTTGGTTTCTCTGATTTAGACTGCTGCAGAAGAAGGAGTTGACTTCCTCCCATGCCCATTTCTCGAACTTCAATCACTTCCTCCAAGGATGCTACTTGCCCCACAGGGAAAACATTTCAACAGCAATCATTCTCAATAGAGAAAGAGACTGCAAGTAACCACATGGGTCCAAAGCAAAATTCAATCACAAAAACAATGAGTTGGATCCAACCAGCCTTTCCACTCTGTCTCAGCCAATTCCCCTTCTTATTCTCATCCCCACCTGTGTGGGTTTTGTCCAAACTGGTCCCATGATCCCCGTAGAGTCTTTTTTTTGCACCAGCAGAAAAGCAGGTTGGATTCAACCCCATTGCCTTAAAGGTGTTTTTTCTCCACCATCACCCCTTTGTTCTTAACATTAAGCCTGATGAAGAATTTTGGAGAACTCACAAGCTGGCATGCTGTTTTATGTTTAGGGTTGCCAGCTCTGGGTTGGGAAATACCTGCAGATTTTAGGACCGGATCCTCAGGAGGAATGAATTTAGGAAGGGGAGGGACCTCAGCAGGGGGTAATGCCATAGAGTCCACCCACCAAAGCAGCCATTTTCTCCAGGAAAACTGATCTTGGTCAGCTGGAGACCAATTGAAACAGCGGGAGATCTCCAGGTGGCACCTGGAGGTTGGAAACCCTATTTGTGTCATTTTGGCTGGTCCCAATAAAAGGTATTATGTGGTGTTTTTTTTTGTTTTAGACTTCACCACCAATGGTCAGGTATCTTATGATGATAAAGCAAACAGGGGAAAAGGCAAGGAAAGCAATCACGGTACAACTTTTCAAGTCAAAGCCAAGCAGTGCAGGGGGAGGGTGGAAAATTGGTGAAAGCGGACCTGCGTGTTAGATTTATTAGTGACTGGCACTGGGTCTAAAAGTGATGTGAAAGGGGTGGGGGGAAGCCCTGCAGGAAAGTGCTAAGGTTCAGTTGGCCTGGAATCTACAGCCAATGTAAAAATGCATTCAGGAAAACCTGCATGGATAGTTAATAGCAAAGTAAAGCATACCAGCCATAAATCAAAAGAAGAAGTGAAGTCATCATAATGCATCTGTGCCTGAAATAATCAGTACTGAGTTTGGCAAGGGCCCACCAGGAGTTGGCTGGGTTTTCAGTAGGACATCAAACATTAACAGAAAGGGGTGGGGAGGGGGAGTAATCAGCAGAGTCAATAAATGCATAATAAGTAATACACATAAATAAATAACGGAAGGAAATAATATAGTGAGGAAACACAGCAGAACGCGAATACTTACTTGACTTGGAAAACACAAGACAGAACCATTATGATGAACATGAGATAGAAAATGGGGTAGGTGAGCTGCATGTTTCCCTTAACAGAAAGTATAACCAAGGTCGCCACAGCCTTTGCAGAAATGATGGTTGGAGACGCTGGAAGAAGATATTAAAAAAACAAAGTCACTTATGCATATTCACTCAGTAGCTCTCCCAACATTCTCTCCCATGAATATGACTCACAGTAAAGAGCAGCCCTCAGGGAAGTTTAACAAATGCCACAGAAGCCCTGGGCTTAAGGCGGCACAACCAGTACAGAGGCTAAATAAATAAATAAATGAAGGTGGAGAACAAATGACATAGATTTAAGATTATCATTGGTGGTGTCAGACTATTTTGTAGGAGTAGAACAGCAATCCCGGGTCCTGTTGCAGACTCAGTAGCTCTCCCAACATTCTCTCCCATGAATATGACTCACAGTAAAGAGCAGCCCTCAGGGAAGTTTAACAAATGCCACAGAAACCCTGGGCTTAAGGCGGCACAACCAGTACAGAGGCTAAATAAATAAATAAATGAATGAAGGTGGAGAACAAATGAGATAGATTTAAGATTATCATTGATGGTGTCAGACTATTTTGTAGGAGTGGAACAGCAATCCCGGCTCCTGTTGCAGCATTGCTGTGCCTCCCCCCAATGCACACCCCTGGGGTCAGCAGACCCCCAGGAACTGCGTAGGAAGCAGAGGAGGAGGTCTACATTGGAAAAGGATATCAGCAAACATTACCTACCTTTTTCTACTGGAGAAATTTATAGCCAGGATTCAAACTGTAGGGTTGGATCCAGCCACCCTTTCCACTTTACTCAGTTTCTCTCCTTACCACAACCCCTGTCGCACATGACTTTGCCCATGGATCTCATGATCCCCAGGGGACCTTTTTTTGTGGTCAAAGGGGACTCCTTGTTCAGCAGCTGAAAAACTGGCTGGATCCAACCCATAACTTTTTCTTGCCTGCATCAACGGTCCCGGTCACACGGGCCGGAAAATGCGGGGGGTAAGCGTGGCTGTTTGCCCCTGAGCAAAATAATGCGCGGCCGCCCGATCACACGTCCCGTCAAGGTCCTGTGGTTAGGGCGGAGGGTGCCGATCACACGGCTCTCCTGCAGCGCGGCAAAGAAGCGGCGGGGCGTGATCACACCAGCAATCGCTAGGCGCCGCTTCCGTGGCAATCGGGAATATTTTTTTCCACCAGAAGGTGAGCATGCACATGATTGTTTGTGCGCATCCTGTGCAGACTGAAAAAAAAAGTAACCGGTTTGCGACGGGACTAGGACGGGACGCGATCAGATGCTCGCCCTTGCCCCACGTCGTCCAGAATCCACATCTTTGGAGGGAAGCCACGGGTTAGCCACGGGAGCACTACACTTCCCAGATGTTGCGGTGTGATCGCGCCCGGAAAATCCACCTATCATCCGTCTCTTTAGCGTGGCAAATGCTCTGTGTGAACGGGGCCAATATTTATTTATCCACCAACTTCTTAGCTTCTTGTCTTCAGGGATCATACTGCTATTTCTTTTATGATCTTGTTTGGCAAGAAGAAAGTTGTTGTCCAGCTGCTTCCCCCATCCCATTATCCTCAATGGGACAAAAGAGGTCCAAGTGCCTCAATTCTCTCACACAATCTAAATTCAGCCTTTTTCCTAGGAGCAGTCTTGACCCAGGGTAACTTTCTGGATGCTTGGACTGACAATCTAATCTAGGGGATCTTATGTACCATGAAATAACACTGTAGTTCTTAAAACTATGTTGTTCACCTTTCTCTCTGGGACTCAAGGCGGATTACACAGAGCGAGTCAATACAATCAACAGGATGGGACATTCAATAAAACAATGGAATAGGATTTGGGTTGTAGAACCAACCAGAAATCTAAAAAACATTACGGAAGCAAATCATAATAAGTATTAACATGACATATTAAATGATGTGAAATTACATAACAGGATCCAACTTATAGCAAACTATACACAGCAGTTAGATCATCCCCTGGCACAAATCTTCTTAGTCTTTAAGGTGCTACTGGACTCTTGCTCAGGAGGGAGGGGGAGCCTAGGCTCAGGGAGGGAGGCCCATAAAAACCACTAGGGGGCCGGGCCCCGTGGTAGCTACGGGCCTGCCTCAGGCAGACCATTCCACAGAGTGGGGGCCACTACAGGCAAGGCACCTGTACGGGCAGTTGTTGGTTTTGCCCATTTGCAGGTGGGCACCTTCTCAGATCAGCGAAGCTGTCATAGAAAACCATAGAATCATAGAGTTGGAAGGGACCTCCAGGGTCATCTAGTCCAACCCCCTGCACAATGCAGGACATTCACAAATACCTCCTCCTCCACAGCCACAGTGACCCACGCCCAGATGATGAGAAAAAACCTCCAGGATCCCCGGCCAAACTGGCCTGGAGGAAAATTGCTTCCTGACCCCAAAGTGGCAATCAGCATTTCCCTGGGCGTATCAGAAAGGGTCACGAGAACTAAGCACCGAGGCAACCCTTCCTGTCCTCCCTCTCATGATCTGCCTAAGTTCACAGAATCCGCATTGCTGTCAGATGGCCATCTAGTCTCTGTTTGAAAACCTCCAAAGAAGGAGGTTTTCATGGCGGAGCAGAGAGGGAGAGGCGGTCTTGCAGATGTGAGGGTTCAAGGCCATGAAGGGCTTTGTAGGTGATAGCCAATACCTTAAGCTGAGCCTGGTAACTGACAGGCAGCCAGTGGAGTGACTGGAGAATGGGGAGTAACAGGCATGCTCCACCTGGCTCCTGATAACAGCCGGCCCATGGCGTTCTGCACTATGCATCACAGGGGCAGATCTGCTGGGGCACGAACGAAGAGTTGGACTGGAACACCTTCCCAAAGTATAATTCTGCAATTTTATATATTCTGTACGTTAACAGTGGCCCTTTTTATCAGTAGGGCAATTTCCAGTGTTAGGCACAGTTCTTCAACAACTCTGTCCAACATGAGCATCGATACCGGGGGGGGGGGGGGATCTCCTTGTTGAGCTAAATGTTGGCAGTGTGGCTTTGTAGAAACAGAGTCAAACAGTGTAAAATAAAGTTTTCCAATAAAACTTGCCATTTCCGTCCTTCCTGCTGCTAGCTATATTGCTGGAAGGTGAAGATATTAAAGCTGACAGTATTATCAGAGACGGCGGGACCATTTCCACCCAGCTTCTATATAAATTTAACGACCAGGCATAGGAAGCCCCTAAGAGTCTCTTTAAATATTTAATACAGAAACGGTTCTTCTGGTTAACGCAGCACCGAATAGGGAAGCAATGGGTTTTGCTAACTCTGATAACAGACCTCGTTTAGCTAGTCTTGAAGCAGCTGAAAAGTGACCTCATTTGCAACAGCGGGAAGCGCCGAGATCCAACTTTGTCCCCCCCCACCCCACGCACGCACCCCACTCCAATCTACCCCACTGTAAATTCCAGATTAGGCATGCAGCAAGGTGCTCCTCAATGAGTCAGTTTCCAGAGCCACACTGCTAAAAACGTTTGCAGATTTATACTCACACTTCTCTGCTCTCTTTCCAGGGAAAATAAATCGCCTATGAAATACAGACCTTTCTGCTTATTAAAAGTAGTGTGACAGATATAGAACGCCCCTACCCCTACCCCACCTCCAGCCTCATCCCATTTGCCATTTCTGGCAATTTCTACAAGTGGGTAACAGTGGAGAGAGAACAATTCTTCCGTAGCTATTACAGAGTTCTTTTGCAATAAGGTGTGACACAAGCTCTTACTGTAAAAAAGTTCTTTGTAATATCCAGCTGGTACCTTCCCACCAATGCTCCCTCTAAGCTGTGGAGTCTTGTGAGCAAAAAATCTACTTTGTGAGCTACTGGCATTAAAGTTGTGAGTGAGCGATTTGGCTACCGTATAAATTAGTTTGCCCTGGAACCATCCTTCCTGAACTAAGGCAAAAATGTGTGACCCGGAGGCTAAAAAATTGTGAGCTAGCTCACACTAACTCAGCTTAGAGGGAACATTGCTTTCCCACCCTTAATTTAAACCCATTATTGCAAATCCTATCCTGTTGCTATCAACCAGTTGTGTGACCTCTGGAAACAAACAAAGGTCTCCTGTGCAAAGCAGGCCATCTAGAAGATGTGCACTTTACACACCTGTCTCGTGAACATAAGAAGCTGACTTAATTTGAGTAATACCTTTGGTCTATCAAGGTCAGTATCATCTACAATGACTGGCAGTGGCTCTCCAGGGTCTCAGGCAGAGGTCCTTCCCAATCCTTTCAACTGGAGATGACAGGAATTGATCCTGGACCTTCTAACATTCAAAGCAGATTCTCTATCAGAGCCGCAGCCCCTCCCACGCATGTCAACCAACTGTCCATCATGGTTCCCACTGCAAACCCAAAGCGGAAATGACAGGCATCTATCCTGAAACACCATTATAGATATGCAAGGGGCTACAACTCAATCGGATCCCTAAACATATGTTCATGGGTGTTTAAGGACACACATCTGTTGTTTGCACTTAATGTTTGCTTTGGAAAACACCAGAATGCCTGTGGCAAACATGACTTCTTTGTGAAAGTGTCTCATTCTTGCCCCATTTAAATTCAATAAGAGTGGTTTATTCACCACAATAGATTCAGACTTTTTCAAGCTTTTTTTTTTTTTTGGAAACATTTCCAAAATCTGCTGCCTCAGAATGTTGGATACCATCATAAGGCAAACCCCATGAGATACTGACAAAATACTGAAAATGGAGACAAGTTCTAATACACGCTAGAATGTTGCACGAAATACAATCCACTGGGTCTTGTGTGATGCTGCATAATATCACCCTTTTAAAAACACTGTCGCCTATTACAATTCTTTAGCACCATCCACCAAGCATGATCTCCCTCTTTCCAGCACAGAGCACAATGTTATGCAATTAACATCTGTGTTCTTATGTCCCATTCATTGCGCTCCATCTGTATTCCATTCACTTCAGTAGGTCTTGCACAGGAGACAGATCCCCAGAGATCGAGCCATAATTTTTATTCTCCTGGCCTGAGGACTTTTTACAGTGCACACAATAGAAACATGTTCCAACAAATGAACAAAGCTGCATATTTAGAATGTGCTTTGGCTTGAGTTCCAGGGGGGCAAGTGCACATGTCAATGACAGCACAGAGATGAAAACAGAATTGGTAGAGAGCCAGCATGGTGTAGTGGTTAAGAGCAGTGGCCTCTAATCTGAACAACTGAGATTGATTCCCCACTCTTCCTCTATGTGAAGCCTGCTGGGTGACCTTGGGCCAGTCACAGTTCAGCCCCACCTACCTCACAAGATGCCTGTTGTGGGGAGAGGAAGGGAAGGCAATTATAAGCCGCTTTGAGACTCCATAAGGTAGAGAAAAGTGCGGTATAAAAGCCAACTCTTCTTCTTTATCTTGTTTGGCCATCGAATCACCAATCCAGTTTAAGCTTCTGCATTGTGCTTAGACCAGCATGGCCTTTTATGCAGGAGTTATTAGGCTGAATTCAATTAGCTTTGCCGGTAGTGGTAAAGGAAAGAGGCTATGTTGAAGATTATGGGACTTGCATGAGAATGAAGCCCTGTGGGATGGGAGCTGTAGTAAGCCACCCCGAGCCCGCTTGTGGGGAGGGCGGGGTAAAAATGCCTAAATAAATAAATAAAATTAAGAAGGGTGTTGCTTGAAAATGGGGGGTGGGGTGGATAGCTGGCTGCATCCAACCCATTGTTTTATTTATTTCATCCAAGCCGACGCCCGAAGCTATGTCAAGTTTAAGAGGCCCCATAGCTTTACCAAAATTGTGTATTAGCAAAATGTAGGTGTTTTTTTTTAAATATTTAGAGACGGCTCATGATCTGAGGCCCTAAGCTACAGATTTCTTAGCTTGTGTGTGAATCCAGCTAGTCCTGATCCAAAAACCTTGCCGAGCAACGCAGAATTTCAAATAGTCTCTGTAATCCATTCCTTCTAGGATCAAACAATGAAGAATTTCTTAAGGTGTCAGCCCAAATAAACCCACTCACCAATAGGCTCCCCAAACCCTATCCAAGCGTCAAGTTGCATCCAAGTGTAAAGTTGTATCTGCATGGGGCTCAGAGAACAGTCTGGGAGCACCAGATGTTGCAGCATCGCTGGTACTAAGCAGCTGTGAATCCCATCAATTCTGTGGATTGGAGACCACAGGGAGCCTCATGCTAGAGTGGAAGGAAGTTGCATCTGCATGTCCGTTTCCCACACCATTGCTACCACAAACAAATGGATGCCCAACAGGCACCTGTGTGAATTCCCAGCTCATGACAACCCTTGCAATGGACCTCCTGCCATGTGGATGGAGTGAGATCAGATATGCATTGCACTTCTAATTCTCCTCTAAGTTACTTGGGTCGATCCTACTCCTATCCTACCACTCCACTGGTGGGAAAAACCACTTAAGTTGGAGAAAGACTCCTTAGTCTGGAAGAAGGCTCCTTGGAGGATGGCTGGGTCCACCCCACTGTTTGGAGAGGCTCTAAAATGGTTAGCAAACGACGAGTTAAACAGTGAGTTACCCTGCATTATCTCACATCCCCATGACATGCCTGTACATGGATCAAAAGCCAGTATCAAGGAACTTGGTTGAGATCAGCAAAGTATTTGGGACTGCAAATACCTCTGCGCCATCATTTCCTATTGCGTCACCCCTTTCCACTGGACTCAGATGACCTAAAGTTAATTACATTTTTTTATCTTTCCTCATTTTCAACAGATGTTTATTTCTCAAAGCATGTCCTTATACAGAGATTGGATTGGGTAGGTAAGATTTAATTTTATGTATCATTAGAGCAATGCTCTGTTTTCGATAGAGCTGTAGGGTTTTTTTAACCTTGCTGGGTGCATGCTGGGTCACTCTCTGGCAAGGACGTGTTTGGATCACCATCCAATGCCTCTAAAGACTCTTTGCATAGGTCATAGTCACAAGGCAGCTCCTTCCATTAGAGCCCTGGTTGTGTTTCACTGCCAACTCTTCAATCACCATTATTTGGTTACTGAAAGGATTAAAAGCATGAACTTGAAGTCCACTGAGTCCTACGCACTTTCTTGCAGCCCCAGTCTTCCATTTCTAGTATGGGGAAAAACAGATACTGGACTACCTTATAGAGTAACTGTAAAATCATAGTTTGGATCCAGAGTAAATTGGCCATTCCCACCCATCCCTCCTTCCTGCTGCAGAACCCACTCATATCATTCCTCGGGGGGGGGGTCCCCTCTCCCCCAGGAGCAGCATTTCATGGAGATAAACGCACTGCAATGGAAGGGGAGTGGCAGGGAAGTTCCATTCTGCTAATGGAAAATTTAGTCTGGATCCAACCCGATATATAACACTTTGTATAGTGCTCTGAAGTCTGCAAAGTGCTCCTCATACATGATGTATGTGACAAATTCTGAACAATGAGGAAAATTCTATATGAATACTTTCATTCAGTTTTCTCTCCCTCTCCCGTCTCAGCAGGGAATGATTAAAAAAATAACAACAGAACACCAGTTCAAAGAAAATGTTCTGCAATAACAGGATGACTCCAACAGAGATGTCTTGGAGTTTAATTTGACTGGGCCTTCCATCCCATGGACAAGAACTATTTCGGAATCTATTGTTAGTTACAGGACCAGTTATGAGTGAGCTGCATGACAGATCTACTGGGATGCCTGCAGAATTACTCCTGCAGATGCAAAACCTGTTGCCAAACCTGGCTCAAAACAAAACTCACCTGTGTACCAAAGACATGGAGTCAGATAAGGTAGCAGTGGAATCTTAGTATGCATGTGCTATAGATTGTGGAAACCACAGGCTGGATCCTGTGACTCCCTAGCACCAAGTCTTCCTCCAACAGAGAAGGATTACCTTCAGCAAAGATGAACTTTTTTCTATTCCAGGAAGCCCCACAAAATATAGTGGATGAAGGAGACCAAAGACCGGTGGTGGACAAGTGGTCAGGACAAAACAGGGCTGGAGATAGGGTTGCCAAACCCCCCAGTTTGCCAGGGGTCCCCCATTTTGGGGGGGGTTCTACCCGCTGCCGTCCAGATGGCCGGTGGGGGAAGCCCCACCCCCAACACCCACAGCCACCCATCTCTCTCCCTTTAAGTGTATGGAACCCGTGTTTCCTCCCAAGCTCAATCTCCGCAAGCTTGCAGGGAAATGCCAGCTTCGTGCTCTTAAAAGGGAAATGCGGCTGCTCTTAAAGGGGAAACGCCGGCTCCTGCATTTAAAAGGGAAACGCCGGCTCCTTTAAGTGCAGGGAACTGCCGTTTCTGGAGATCTGGCGCACGGGCGGGGGGGGGCGGATATCCCCAACGTGACGTCATCACGTCGGGGATGCCCCGCCCCCTCCAGGAACGCCCCCAAAGTCCCCCGCTGGGGGTGGAAGATGGACTTGGCAACCCCAGCTGGAGATGACACAAGTCTGATATGATGTATACTGTTTTATTGGTTTTACTGGCAATTGGGCCACTGTTGTAAGCCGCCCTGAGCCCGCTCACGGGGAGAGTGGGGTATAAATTGAATAAATAAATAAATAAGTCTTACCTAGCAGTGCTGCCATAGTTAACAAAACCACAACGTGCTTCACATCCCTTCTTTTATAGAAATACAGAAGAATGCAGAATGTTATTACTCCCAAGATCTAAAAAGAGAGAGCAAAACAGATAAAAAGCAAATGTTGCTGAAGGTGAAATCTCTAACAAGATGTCACACATTCATCTTTTGAACAGTTACAGTGGTGATTAGAGTAGCCACATCGTATGTCATTTGTCAAAAACTTATTCATCCTATAAACCTTTCCTAGGACTAAGAACAGTTATAATATCAGTCTGCTTTTACTCCCTTTTGGAAAGTCTAATTTGAGGTGGGTTTTTTCCCGTAAGCCTTTAAGATTTAAAATAAAATATCTGATCTTTTTTGCAGTCATAACCGTCAAGCAAAAAAGCATTCAACTTTAATAAGACTATAGTTTTTAAAACTAAAGAATCAACACAGTACATAGTGCTATAGTTAATAACAGTAAATGTGGATTGACTGCAATCATCCAACTGCAATGGGACTACTCCAGTGTAAGTGACTTGAAGATCACAGCAGACAAATGCCTCCTTTCAGCCCTGAAATACAGCTCATCTCCCTTTCTCTTTGCACCAAATTGCCTTCACTTGTTCTTCTCTGTCCACCTCCGTAATCAATAAAACCTGGGCGAAACTTACACTTCTTGTTCAAAACACCTGCAAAGCATTTGTAACTGTGCACTGCTTTTCAATCACTGCCTAGCCAACTACCTGTCAGAAGGCTACATAAAAGAAAAATATACCAGCAGAGCTTAATGACAGGGCAGGAGAGGCTGCTTTGCAAGACGTTTTACAGATGGGGAGGCCTTAACGCAGCACACAATCCAGGCTCGCTGCTTCATAGCTACAAGCAATGCTCCGGCAGGCACAGAATTTGCACCCCAAGCCACATTCCATACAGGCTACAGGTTGCCGCCATGCGGACACAAAGTGCTTAGAGTAGTGTTGCCAGGTTCCCTCGCCATTGTGGCGGGGGGATTTGGGGGCGTTCTGGGGGTGGGCGGGACATTGTTGGGTGATGTCATCACATTGGTGACATCGCGTGTGACGTTCTGGTTTGGGAGCAAAAACTCTATGCTTTTTTCTTCTTCAAAACCATTGAGTTTAGCCAAAAACCAAAATGTTGTATGCAATGTCACTAATGCAATGATGTCACGTCCCTATTGGGGGTGGGATTTCCCCCCACCAGCCAGCTGACCAGCAGCAGACTGCAACCCCCAAAAGCGGAGCAACCCCCGCTGGGACCTGTGGTCTGGCAACCCTAGCTTAGAGACTGGGGTGCGGCATGACAAGCCTTTAAAAAAAAAAAGATATTTAACCATGGGGAACCTGTTTTTCTTGTTCCGGACTTCATTTTAAAACATCAGCTGAGACCCAGTTTAGACTCACTGTGTGTGTTCAATCTGTAGGATTTGGGGAAAAGTCTTTAGTCTGGAAGGGGAACGTATGAACCCAGAATCAAGGGCAAACTGGCCCTTATGGCCACTGGAACTCTTCTTGGTGGCCTCATGGCCTCCCCCTCCACCTGGGCAGGGCGAGGCCAGGGAGGTAGGTGAAACCTGCCCCGCATGCTCAAGCCTTGCATAGGAAGGGGGAGGTATCAGTGTTTGCCAGTTCTGGATGGGGAAATACCTCGAGATTTAGGGGGTGGACCCTGGGAGGGCAGGGTCTGGAAAGGGGAATAACTTCAGCAGTTAACAATTTCACAGAGTCCACCCTTCGAAGCATCCATTTTCTCCAGGGGAACTGATGTCTATTGCCTGGAGATCAATTGAAACAGCCGGAGATATCCAGGCCCCTCCTGGAGGTTGGCACCCCTATGCTTCTCCCTCTCTCAAAGGGGCTGGGGTGAGACCCTTTTCCAGGGTCTCTGTTTTTTCTCTCCCAGTTTCCCCCTTCCCCTTATTCTCGCCCTAAGCAGTCTCTGACCTTCTTGGATCCTCCATGCAGAAGAGAGAATGGCGGCGCTGTTGTGGCTATGGGCCTCTTGCCAGTCTGGGATTCCATCAAATGTACAGCCTCAGAGGAGGTCTCTGCTTCTGAATCATGGGCCAAACCACACTGACAGGCATCAGGGTTACAGCCAGCGGAAGGGGAATTTTCACTCTGCCTTCCCTTCCCAGCTACTTCAAGAGCCAGGAGAGAAAAATATAGACATCCATATTGTGCCTGACTTTTCCCTCTCCCAGAGCTCAAAGCAGTATGAGGGTACCCTTTCCAATTGGGGAAATGGCACAAGGGGAATTCTCAGCCCCCCCCCTCCGCCCTTTCTCCAGAGTTGCCGTCTTAATTGAACTCCCTCCCATGGGTCCTTCTGGCAGCTAAAATTCACATTTGGGATCTGCTTTCGGATTCCTAGCGATTATGTGTGTTATGTGTGGTTCAGCCTTCAGGGTTGCTTTACACATTACATTTCTTAACACAGGTATTAATAACGGTATTACAGTGTCAAGTACAAGGTCACCCCAAGGGCTACAGTAATCCCTCCCCCATAAAGACGGTTTCTTCCTTCCTGCCTTATTTTCTCACTGCTCATTCTCCAGGCTCACTCATTTCAGAAAGTCACAACTGTGGCAATGACGAAACTTTCAGAGTTTGCGCCAACAACTCTTAATACGAAGAAATATGGACCAAGCAAGCGCTCTCCTCTGCATCAATTCTGTGCCACATTCATGCAAGCCCCCACCAAATTACCCCATTTGTAGAATGAAAAATATATTAGCAAGCAATCCATTTCCCCCCCTGAATAATTTTTCAAATAGACTTCACACTTTGGCTTCCAGAGGCAACAGAAAGATAATTAACTCTTGCAAAACAATTCACAGGTGTTTTTCTAGGCATCAAGATAATAGATTCTGGAAGGAAAGGGGGAGTTTGCAGCTTGTTGCTTTTTTTAAAAGAAAGGGTGATTTATGCAGATCTTTAACAGACATAAATCTCATTGTTATTTCTTGTAAGAATCAATTTTCTAAGCTAATCATGGTGTAATAACCCACAGTCACAGATGCATGAACATGTTCTCTCTCTCAGAAAAAAAGCTTGCTCTTAGTTTCTTAATCTTGCTTAGGAGAATGGTGGATTATGTGCATCTCCCTAGGCGGGAGAATAGAAATGCAAAGGCGTAGATAAAAAAGAACCCTCTCTGCATAAGCAAAAGTCACTTCTACCTGCAAAGAGAAGGTCACTAATTCTTGACATGTGCATCCCCCCATGTCCCCTGAAAACTGGGTTCAAAGAGTTAAGGCCTTTTGGGGAACACAGCGAGCTGCAGAGGCAGGGAGAGGAACTGGCAAAAAACAACTGCTACTCTCTCTGTGATTTGTTCTATGCTGAGCCATGGGCACCTGGCATTGCATTCTGGGTATTTATCTTGTGGTCAAACAATAATAATAAAATAACTGTGTACCGACAAGTCGCAACTGACTTCTGGCGACCTCTCATGGGGTTTTCAAGGCAAGAGATAAGCAGAGATGGTTTACCATTGCTTTCCTCTGCATGGCAACCCTAGCCTTCCTTGGTGGTCTCCCATCCAAGTACCAACTGTGGCCAACTTTGCTTAGGCTTCCGAGCTTTGATGAGATCAGGCTAGGCTGGGCTACTATTATTCAAACAATACAACTAAATTGATTTAAATCAACCAGTGACACAGGCTAATCAATATAAACAAGCAGTTAGTCCTTGTTATCCTGACTTCAGAATTCTGAACCAAGAGTCCCAGATTTCAAACTGTCCCTGATGGGCTTCCTGTCCCTGAGGTGCTCCTTCCCTAAGCAGATGGACACAGTGTTCCTTCAACAGAAGTCCTTCTTTGGAAACTGAAAGTTCTTCTGTAAACAGGAGTTTTGCCATGATTGGAAGACTCCCCGAAGAACAGGAAGGGCACGTTTGGATCCAGCCCATTTGCTCAAAGAAGAAGGAGGTCAAAGTTCCACTTCACACCTTTTTTCATTTCTCACAGAAAAATTAGGTCACCAGTAAACGTTCAGGGGGGAAAATGTCCAAGCAAGTGTTTAAGTGCTTTCCTGGATTACAGCCTAAAGCTTAGAAGGTGAGGAAAGGTCTTTCCCCCCTCTAACAAGCCTATGATTTCAAGACCTTTTAATTCACTGGGAATGAAATATCATTGGCTGTGTTGGCAGGGTGAAGAGCTGGCTTAAAACGTAGCTGCCCAGTAGAGATTTTGGCTGACATCACGTTCATAATCTCTTCACTGCGGTCAGGAAATGTGCTGCAGACTCCCCCCCATCCCAAGAACTGATCCCCCTCCTTTCCCTTTTTAGAGCTAACCATGGTACAATTCTCTATGTGCATTAAAGGTGCATATCTAGTTTGAAGTTAGTCATGGTTAGCATCAGTTCAGACATATCACTCACAAGACCACTGTCAGTTCTAGGAAGCAAAGGGCACATTGCACTCAGGAGGAAAGAAGGATGGACAAGAGAGTCTTTGGTCCCCCAGCTCATTCTCACAGCGCAATTCCCATGCAGAGTTTCTCCAGTCTAAAACCATGGAAGTCAAGGGATTGCACCGCCAGACAGTCAATGGTTATAGACTGCAATAGCTGCATAGGATTGCACTGCCTGACGCCTAATGCGCAAAACGACACTAAGCGGGTCTAATCAGGATCCTACTCAGGTCTATTCTATGGGACTTACTCCCAGGAAAGTGTTTTTGGGATTGCACCGCTATTCCGGTGTTACTGGAAATGTCAAAGTTCCCTGAACTTTAAACAACTGAACCACCATTATTAATCTGCTTTCCATGGCATCTAGCATATACTCACAAGTACAGAAATGGGTTTAACCTAGCCCTGACCTGAATAGCCCAGGCAAGCCTGATCTCATCAGATCTTGGAATCTAAGGAGCACTGACCCTGGCAAGTACAAGGATGGGAGACCTCCAAGAAATACCAGGGCCGGGAGGCAGAGGCAGGCAATAGCAAGCCACCTCTCTGAACATCCAAGCCCCACTAGGGGTCACCAGAAGTCAACCATGACTTCCAGGCATGCACGCACACACACACACAGATACTCACCAAAAAGAAAAAAAAGAAAATAAATGGATTTAACCAGGGCTCTAGTCGGGGGGGAGCTCTCAGGTACGGAGCTCCAGAAGAGAACCTCTAGGGGGCGGGGCGGTCACGTGGTGAAGCCCCGCCCCCTTCTTTACCCCGCCCTCTGCTTCGATCCTCATTCCGTTTGGGAATGAGGATGAAGCAGGAGGGTAAGTAGCCGGGCCTTCTGACACACTTCCGGTGATGTCAGGGGGTGTGGCCTTCTGTCACTTCCGGTGATGTCAGGGGGCGTGGCATATGCAAATAAGTTATGCTAATGAGTTATGCTAATGAGCTCCGGCAGCTCTTTTTCTACAACAAGACCCCTGGATTTAACCTAGCATTTCACCCTGCTGCCAACAACTATCTCTTGGTCAGTACACAAAAACACTTTTTCAGGCTAAATTGCAGGACATGAAAAATCAGTCCTCCCTAATCCCGACTCAGCTTGGGGCAGTGGTTAGAGTGGGAGTCCAGGATCTTGGAGGCTCAGGCTTAAATTCCCCACTCTGCCATGGAGGTTCACGCAGTGTTCTTCCGGCAGTGACCAATTCAGCCTGACCTCCCTCACAGGATAACTGTTGTTGTGAGGATAACATGGGAAACGGATGTGGTGGTCTCCTTTGGATCCCCACTGGGGAGAAAAGTGTGGTAGAAATATCTGAATAAACAAATCAGCCACTGTAGGTGTTAACTAATTTAGTAAAGTTGATTACATGTGAATTCTACATAACTACATCTCAACTTGTATTTCTGACATTTCACCACCCCTCGATCTAGCTGTTTCCCCCCCTCATAATCCTATAAATACATATTTGCTGAGAGAGGACTCACTAACAGGCTATCACAAACCAGGTCCTGGTCCACAAAAGCTTTTGCTAAAATAATAATGTGCAATCTCAAGGAGGCCACAGGACTTCTGTTTATGTTTGGCCTAAAAGTCTTTCTTGCTTTCCTAACCACCCATTCAAGCTTGGAGCTGCAGAGAGGTCATTTCGGGGGGGATCGCGGGGGATCGCAGTTCCCCCGGGTGAGGTGCAGGGGGGCGGGGCACATGACGAAGCCCCGCCCCTTCTTCCGGCCGCCCCCTTCTTCCAGCCTCATTCTGTTGCAGAAGGAGGAAGAAGCAGGAGGGTAAGTTGGCGTCCTCCCCCTCTGCCTGGCCGAGGCCACTCCATGTGGCCTCCGCAAGGACTCCCAGCCCCATCCAGGAGCTTCCCCGAGGTAGCTGTGTTAGTCTGTTGCTGCAAAATAGTCCAAGAGTTCAAATAGCACCTTTAAGACTAACAAATAGCACCTTTAAAACTAACCTTTAAGACTAAGACTAACTGAGTGGTGGGTGTGGCCTTATGACACACTTCTGGTGAGGGGGCGTGGCCTCACGACACACTTCCAGTGATGTCAGGGGGTGTGGCATATGCTAATGAGTTATGCTAATGAGTTCCCCTAGCTCTTTTTCTACGAAACGACCCCTGTGCTGTATTGGATTCCCACAGCTAAGAGCTCGGTCCTCAACAGAGTTACACTCTTCTACACCAATCGACTTCAATGGACTCAGAGAATTGCGTTTAGCTACTTCTCATACAACTCTCATACTGAAAATTCAGAATGGAGTGGAACAGATATGCTATATTTTACATAAAGCCAAGCCTCTGGTCACTTGAAGAATTTGAAAACATATTAATGCAAAATAACCCAGCAGACAGGATGGCACTACACAAATGCTGTTCTTCTTATGCTAGCCTGCATCATGTCCCATCTCAGCAAATCCAGCCTGGCTTTCTCCTGCTCCTTTCTATATTCGGCTTGGAGAGGCATCTTTGATTTCACTCTGTTTGACACAAGGAATGTGGAAAGAATAGCAGCTGAAGTGAGAATTGCAACATCCTCGACTGGGAGAGCAATCTGTCCCACAGAAAGCAACGTTGACTCTGTGCCTCGTGATGCAGATCAAGAGCATCTGAATTACAGATAGCAGATTATGAAGACTGGACTCACCACATAAATCAGGACCTGCCAGCTAACTAAATAACTCTGTATGCTTCTTGCTGTGGGTTCCTGGGCAACGTGAGGAGCAAATGTCACCAACAAAAATGTTCCTGCGATTATCAGAGTTCCACCTTGAAATAAACACATGGAGACAAACATGTTACTCTTTAAGCCATATGTTTAGAACATGGTACCAAGCTCTCTCTAGCATACGGCGGATGAATTTATACAACCAGTTTTTATGCAAAAATGTCACCGGCAAGAGACAGCTTTCTATCATTCTTCCACAGTCACTCCACCCCTTCAGGTTAATTTCCTATAGGTAAAGGTTTCCCTTGCTCGAAAGCCAGTCGAGTCCGACTCTAGGGTTGCGGTGCTCATCTCCGTTTCAAAGCTGAAGAGCCAGCGCTGTCCGAAGACGTTTCCGTGGTCATGTGGCCGGCATGACTAAACACCAAGGCGCACGGAACGCTGTTACCTTCCCACCGAAGTGGTACCTATTTATCTACTTGCAATTTCTTGCTTTTGAACTGCTAGGTTGGCAGGAGCTGGAACCAGAGACAGGAGTTCACTCCGTCTTGCGTCACCCAGGTCTTGAACTGCTGAACTACCGACCTTCCACAGCCTGCAGTTCAGCGTCTTAACCACTTGAGCCATCGCAGCTCCTTAATTTCCTATAGGAGAGGATTATTCCTGGTTATTACACAGGTGGGAGTTCACACAGGACATCTGTGCGGAAGCTCTGTGGCCAATGTTCATGCCTCTGCACTTGCGGCAGCAATTATTGTATTTATTTTACAAAATTTATACCATGCCTTTCTGACCTCATAAGGGCCACAAAGGCAGCTAACAAATTAAAAACGCACAAAATAAAACCACAACTTAAAAACCATTAAAACCAACAGAAACACATCATTAAAACAATTAAAATCAGAGCTAAAATGCACCTACAAAAAGACAAAAACAACAACTAAAACACTGGGCAGGAACTAAAACACTGGCCACAAACTCGCAAGGTGGCTTTTGGCAAGCCAATAAATCATAATAAAATTGTGTGGTTAGGCAACATTTTTTTTGTCCTGCTGACTTTTAAATTCCACCCAGAGCCACACAGTTTTGCTTGGTGAGTCATTAACAGTAGGGAGAGGGAGCGTGGAAAGAAAACTGTGGAAGGGAAAGCGTGTCCCTGGAAAGTGCCGCCCATAGCTAAATGCCACTGCAGGCGGTTCAGTTTTCTGCTGATTTCTGTTGTCTGGTGATCAGTTGTAATACTGGGAGATCTCCAGGCCCCATGTGGAGGTTGGCAACCCTACAAGCAAGGCACGTGCCTAGAGTCTCCAGCCCAAAGAGGTGCTATGCTAGGCACAGGCTGCTGTTCAACAGATAGGGAATGCAGTCTAGGAAACCAGGGAGATTCCTGCTCCCCTCCCCAGCCTACAAATCTCAGTAGTGGCTTCTGTTGCTGTGTTGTATACAGGGGTAGGGACAAGTGCTGATGCAAAAGAGGACAATTAGATCCATCCCAGTTGCCCCTTAGAGACCAACAAGATTTTTCAGGGCAGGAGCATTCAAGAGTCAAAGCTCTAAAGCGGACAATGTGCATTTGTGACACAGTGCGCTTGAATGTGTGAAGAGGCAATACATGCTTCTCCAAACGAGTGTGTCTTACTTTCTTTGCTGCTGCTGACATGCCAATTTAAACTTGGCAATGTGGTTTCACGTATCTTTTCTATTTAAAGGTTCCCCACTCCTACAGCCAATCATTTATATGGAACGTGAGATTCTGGGGTACGAAATACTGCACAAAACATCGGTGGGACATTACAGCTCACACCCTATTTGGGAGGGGGGGATGGCAGCATTCTGTATTTATGTGCTAACACAAGAGCTCCCAACAATCACCAGGATCTGCCATTGTACAGCTAACTCCAATGGAATGCAGCAAGACTGTTAAAAACCTTCACGGCAAAGACAAGCTCAGAGAAATAATATAAATCAGCACAGAGCTCTAGTTAAAACAATGTGCAGCATACAAGGCTGAAGGGGGAACACGATCAGCCGAGGGATGAATTCTCCATGTATCACTAGGATCAACAGACTCAATGTTACGGGGCTGCTGGAGCAGTACCGACTGTCTTTCCCCACAGCTGTGCAATGACAGCCATTACTCCCATAGGCACCGTCATCCCTTTGCTTATTTACAGGAATAGCCCAGATGTCCTTCTTCCCATGTTGCCCTGACTGAGGGGACACTTCAAACAGGGCATGTTTCCTAGAAGGAGAATTTTTTCATCGATAATGAAGTGTGCAAAGTATACTTTGAGACTGTAAAGTGTACATGCACTGAAAAGGAGTGGCTGGCTGTCTCTTGCCAGCATCTCCAGGTAAAAGGACCAGGTGGTAGGTGTGAAAGACCTCTGCCTGAGATCTTGGAGAGCCACTGCCAGTCTGAGTAGACTATACTGGCCTTGATGGACCAAGGGTCTGATAAAGTATAAGGCAGATTCATGTGTACCTTATCAGGAGCAACACATCTGTCTCAATCTTCTCCCTTCCCAGATACACTTGGTAGGCTTCAGATGCATTTTTTGGCTCTTTTTTTTTAAATTCAGGAGGGCATGCCCACACATGCCCCAGGGCATGCCTGTGCATTTTTTAAAAAAGAGTAATATTTAATGAGATCCACTACCCTCAGTGCACATAAGCAAGAGGACGGAGTTTCCACATGTTTCCACACAAGCAGAGGTCATTTCGGGGGGGAACGCGGGGGAACACAGTTCCCCCGAGTGAGGTGCAGGGGGGCGGGGCACATGATGAAGCCCCGCCCCCTGCTTCCGGCCACCCCGCTTCCAGCCCTCATTCAGCCAGGAGGAGGCAGGAGAAGAGGGAGGGTAAGTTGCTTCCTCCCCGCCTTTCCCCACCCCTGCCTGCCTGGGGCCAGGGAGGGCCTTGGCGGGGCTTCCTTGCACTCCTGCTGGCCTTGCAGGTCCACCGCCGGGTCCCTGATGTCAGGGGGTGTGGCATATGCTAATGAGTTATGCTAATGAGTTCCCCTAGCTCTTTTTCTACAAAATGACCCCTGCACACTAGGGCATAAAAAATATGCCCCCACCACAGGAGCAACAGCGAGCAGAGAGGGAACGGGCACACACACCCATCCCTGCTGCACTCCCTGCTCCTGCGGCCCTCCTCACCCACCTTTTCTCCATCACATCCACTCAAAAGCCATCTTATTTTAATCTCGCTCAAAGAAGGGGGGGGGAAACGTAGCAGCCAGATAAGTTGTGCCCACCCTGGGCACAATGTCATCTGGATGCTCTCAAATCCTGGCCCCAGGGGAGGGAGGGGGGCTTTCCTGTGTGGAAACAGCCTTGGTGAACGATGGGAACAGAGTGGGCTGAGCTGCCAGTGCAGTTGGTGGGCTTTTCTGCTGACTGCAGGGGCTGGTGGAAAGACACTCTCGCCAGCACTGCTTTTTACAAGTCCAGCTGAGCATTAGAAAGCACAGCCAGCTGCTGCGGGAATGAGCATCGTAACAAAATTCGAAAACCACCGTCATCTTAAATGTGTCAACAACATTTACGCATATGAATTATTACACAGAGAAGTCTTAAATACCAAAAACCAGCAATGCCTTATTGTCTTATGTAAAGCAACCCCAAATTTTGCTGGAATTAGTCTCATTCCTAATAAATAGAGGATGTCTTGATTTGTAGAAATATCTCTGAGGCAGCCAGGAAGTCTAGTGTTTTGTACAATAAAGATCATGTTTGCCAAAACATTGCTGAAATGCCTTTGGAAAAGGCTTGAATTAGTACAAAAGGAACAAATGGTTCCTTTTAAAAAGGGGGGCGGGAGTTGTGGACAATCTTCCAAATCAGAGCAACACAAGCAATTAGCTGATGCCATGTTTTGATGAGATTTCTACTATTGTCATACAAATATTATTTTCTGGTTTAAAACTGGCAGCAAAAAGATAAACATAAATAGAATTTGATCATTTTAAAACCATAATGTTCCTTCCTATAGCCATTAAGTGTTCACCGTACAGTTATGTTGAAGCTTGGTGAGGATGAAGAGTTTGAAAATACAATCTTCTCATTATGAAAACAATTCTAGACATGATGGGATCATTTTACTTACCTAATACACCTTCAGCCCTCGTGTTCTCTTTTTGAAACAAGACAGATATAAGTGCACTACCTGAGGGGGAAAATAATCTTTATTTAATAATGCAACCTATAATATATATATATATATTTAAAATGAGGTCAATTTAGGACGTGGACAAACTATCCAGACAACTGTGTGTTGGGTTCACCTACCTAAGTTCCATGGATACTTCCACAAGCCTAAAAGATTCATCACATTAGTCTAATGTAAGATCAGCAACTTTGAATACAAACGCATAATTTTCATCAAACGTTTGGTTCACCATTTGCTCACCTAACATCTCTCCTGTCTTGATCAAATCCAAATACAACATCATACCTTTTGATCCAGTGACTATATAACACCCTCAACTCATAACTACAGAAAACATTCAGTTTTGATCAGAGCAAAGTAACCCGAAAAGCAGCACTAAATTAGGTACAAAGATGCATGCAATAAAATCTCTTTAAAACAACACTGATATCAGTTGCTACATTCTGGTATAACCTGCACTGGAATTAAGCTCTTCATTTACTTTCACTCATAGTCTTTAAAAAATGAGGGCATCATTGATCATGGGACACTGGATATCAACTGGAAGGCTGTATTTAGCAAGTGAGTCCAAGCGAGATACAGGATTGGTTCCAGAGTGGAATAGCAATAACTATAATCCACCAGCATATGCTAGATAGGTTCTGTAGCCGTTCTCATTCTTGCAACTCCTCGCGTTAGAAAAGAAAATCTTTGGATTTAGTTCTACCATGATTACACACTGCAAGCAAGACCTTGTACACTGGCTATTTTTAAAGTGCCTATAGGTCTATAATGTATGGCTGCGAGAGTTATACCGTAAGGAAGGCTGAGCGCCGAAGAATAGATGCTTTTGAATTATGGTGCTGGAGAAAACTCTTGAGAGTCCCTTGGACTGCAAGGAGATCAAATCAGTCAATCCTAAAAGAAATCAACCCTGACTATTCCTTCGAAGGCCAGATACTGAAGCTGAAGCTCAAATACTTTGGCCACCAAATGAGAAGGGAGCACTCACTGGAGAAGACCCTGATGCTGGGAAAGATTGAAGGTCAAAGAAGACGGGGACGGCAAAGGATGAGATGGTTAGACAGTGTTATCGATGCAATGAACATGAAATTCAGCAAACTCCAGGGGATGGTGGAAGACAGGAGGGTCTGACGTGATATGGTCCATGGGGTCATGAAGAGTCGGACTCGACTGTGTGACTGAACAACAACAACAATAGGTCTATATACAGATCTCTCAGTATCTCATCTGGTTTTGGCCTTTGAGTAGTAGGTACTGAGGGAAAAAAACTCTTGCAGAGACCCTGGATAACCAATGGCTTACAGTACACAGTCCAGAGACAGATGGACCAATGACTTGACCTTGCATATGGTGGCTTTGTATGTTCATACGTTTCCCAGTAGTGTTCCACAGGAGTGATGTGTGCTGATTCCACACTGGGTTCCCCCCCTCAACTTCCTACTCTCAGCTGAAAAGAACATGGGCATCAGGATACTGCACTATCAGAAGTCTTCTGCCTTTAAAAACCATAAGGACTAGCATTATGGCCACCGCAAGGATACTACTGAAAATGGTCTTATTGTGGTGAGTCATTCCTGTTCCTTTCATACTGAGTATGAACATTCATTTGCACCAACACCTCATTAATTTAGTTTCTACACCCCAATCAATCCATGGTTCTGAAATCCTCTCAAAAATGCACCTTCACGTCAAAAGTACTACATATTACAGCTGTGGGATAGTCACTTTTGGCAGCATCTGTGTGGCAACAGCAATGCAGGTTCTGTCACTAAGTCCATCCTGGATGTGAATTTTTTATATTAATGATTCCTAGCAAGAAGGGCCTTAATTCAAGAAATTGCCAGCGCTTCGGTTGTTCTTAATTTTTTTAAAAAAAATCATTCTGCCAATGACCCAAAGAAGCAGCCAATGGGGGGAAATGACATGTATACCAGAAAGCACACAGATGGTTCCTTGAATTACAAAACATTTATTAAAATCAGTGTCTGTTTCAAATGCTGTCAAGGGATTAAACAGAGACAAACAGCAGCCTGTACAGTTGCTTCATCAGCAGGCAGCTTCCTCCCAAGGAAATACAATTTTTCTCCCCCTATAAATAGTTTAAATGTAACTGCAAAGAAGAGCTCCAGAAGAAGAAGAAGAAGAACAACAACAACAACTCGGAAGTTCAGCCATTTGAAATGTATGGTAGACCTAGTCACATCATAGTTTAATACTGGCGATTCCCAGTCACCAGAACTTAAATGCAATAGCCTGGTACCAATATAGTATATGAACTAGTACTAAGAATCTTGAAACATTGCCTTCAGTACTTCAAGATTGTGTTGAATCAACAACAACAGACGAACCTGATGAAGAATACGCAAACGGAATGATTACTAGAACACTGTTGTTTGTCTTAGTTGTTTTTGTAATAAGTATATTAGATTAGGACCTTGTGCCTAAGATAAGACCTTATTATTGGCTGTAAACATTTCTACAGAAGTGACATCATTCTGAATGTACTGTTGAGCTTCATGGTTAATGCTTAAGTTGTATTTGTGTTAATGAATCATTCTAAAATACATTAATAATTCATATTTAGCATAATATAAAAACAGAAAAAATTGTACAATTATACACAGTGATTTAGTGTTTTACTTAGTCACAAATACTGTGGTCCGGTTTGTTGTGAATATGCAGTAAGGGCAAAATTAACAACCTATTTGAGAAACAGGTCTATTATGAAATTTGAGGACAGATGGAGTGTGTATTATGCTAGCAGAAGGCTATCATATACAATTGTATAGTAATGAAATAGAAGTGGAATTAAAATTTGTTCCAAATGTAATATCTCGAATACAAATGGGTTCTCTATATGAGATATACAATAGACTTTCTTTTACACCGTGATATACTACTTATCTATACTACTTATCTACTTATCTATTATCTATACTACTTATCTATTAAAGGTTTTAATGAATATGTAGAAGTGGTGAAAAT